TACGAAAGTAATATTAAATCACTCATATCAAACACGATAGACAACTTCGACGGAGCAGTTCTAGATTATCATTGCGCAAAAAAAGAAATGTTGTGCATTGATAATATTTCAGTACATGTGTTTTGTGTTTTCCTTTATTCTAGGTCATTTCCCAAACATTTCGAAAAACCCTAAGGGAAGTCTGAAACAGCTGGTTGATAACAAAAACATTTATTATTAGCTTTTCGGTATCAACCCGTCAATATTTAGGAAATGGTTAATCGGAATACTATTCAGAACTATTATGCCCGTGTTCAAAAACAGTAAATTAGTATTGTCACTATTATTATTATAATTACAATGTGGGTTGCAGTTAAAAATCGCAATGGCGACAGTTGTATATGAAGGAAATTTAATTTTAAATTTTTTTAATTTTTTTTTTCAGGTTTTATTTATTTTCGAGTCAAATAAGCTCATTGCGAGCATTTCTTAAGCGATAAGGTCGACTGGGTTTGCCAATACCCGTTGTGCCTTTAGGTTTCTACGCATCAAGTCGGCCTTCCCTACAAAATCCTCCTTCTCCCTCGCAGGTGAAAAAATAACGACCATATTCCGCGTGACTATGATCCCTAAAGTCTAACACTAAAGATTCTTCATCGTTACTTACATAATTATTTTGATATGTTGGAGAAAAAAAAAGGGAACACTCATGTCTAACGAATCCATCTCTACCTCTGTAAGTTTCTGAAGTCAAACAACTAATTAAGCTTTGGTGAACTATTATCTCCATTTATTGTTCCAAGAAACGTAAAACGTCACATATTTTGTCAATAACATCTTCTAGTGCGTGGCACGTGCAGGTGAGATCTACCGCTCTGCACTATTTAGCGAATACCGTTAGAAAACGCGAACAAAACATGTCTATATTATATCTATTTATGATAGACATTTTACAAGTGGAAACGCAATTGTTTCGAAGCAACTCCTAGCGTTCTTAACAAAACCTATTTCGACGTAGAGGCGTTAAATAAACAAAGAGTGGCACCTGTCAGTAATTGATAGTATCATTAAAGTGAATAAAACCCGTCATCACAAGTTGACATCTTTAGCCCAAGGCTATATTATTCAAAAATGCACCTTTTTTCGCCAAGTATTGTGTATCCCATGCTAAACTATTGAAAAAGCTTTAAAATTCGAATGAATCATTGCTTGAAAAGTTAGTTTCATTTTTGTCATATTTTTTACTTAAGTAAGAAGGCCTACCGCTACTAAATTTCGGCAGAAATACCCGAGGAAAATAATTTGCATGACAATCAGTTTACCGTGATGTATGTCAGCGCTGAATAAACGGCTGGTTCTTGCTAAAAGGAAAATTATCACAAACCTTGAATTTATATTGGCAAAGGATATTTCGGACCGATCTACAGCCACTGAAAATTTTCAAGAAGGTTGCATTTGGTTCAGCTTACAGGAACTAAACTCACCCAACGGAAAAAATAATGATGACGAAAAGCTGCCAGTTGTGGGGAAAGCTCCTGTTATCAATAACTATGTTGAGTGGGTACCAAAGCTTCTTTTAAAAGATTGATTTCATTTAGAAAAAATTAATTTCATTTAGAATGCATCCTAAGCGTACTCCGAGGAGTCCATCTACTGGCTGCCCTTTGAAAAGTCTCCAAATGCCGCTAAAACTTAGATTAGTCTAGAATTAGACGATCCTTAGTGGCAGGAAGCCAAGACGAAATATTTTAGGGGATGTATTTCATGGAGCCATTTTACCCTTGTATTATTGAGATACAGGCTTAAAGCCTGTTCTAACTCAGGCGTCTGTTACGAAAAAGTGAAGCTTTTGCGCAAACATGCAACCAGCGATGGGATATTTTATGCAAATTCTGTAATGACTACATAGAAAGTTGAAATTTAGGTCGTCTCTCACCTTTCACAAACTACTGAGCTTTGCAGGTTAACAATACAATGTTTTCTCCTTGGCAATTTTCATATGGGTCAGTTTTTCCTAGGTGTTTAATTTACCATTGATATGTAAACAATGTCTGAGAAGCCAACATCGTTATGCAGAAACGTTCTTTACACCCAGGGATGCCTTTATGTATTTCTCAATTCCTAAGCTGCAAAACGTAGTTTTGGAAAGAAGCCTCACTCTTTAATCTTACAAAGGCCGCCTATCTTTGGAAAAAGTAATAATGATATAAACAAAAATTAAGTAA